GCTCTTTAAAAGCTAGACTGCAGTCTACAACATTAGACTATTAACAGTGTTTTCAATAACAGAGTTTAAATGAACTGTTATTACAAAAGGGTACGGTGGCTGACACTGCACTTTCACAAACGACGCATATTTAAAAAACACAAATGTGCCAAAACAAATAAAGAAACATCTTCAGAAACTTGCCAACACATGTGCATGTTTTACAGAACACTCCAAATAAAAAAATGCAGAAAGAAGCTCAAAACAAAAAAGTGTATCGTAATGTTTTGGGCCGTTGTAGCGCATTTGCCCCTGTCAGCCACCATAGAAGGGCATAACAGGCACAAGCTAACCCTTGAAAGAGACACTTACCAAACAGGAAGAGATGCATAATGACCATAAATAAACAGACACACATTTGTATTTAAAGTATAAATAGTTGCAGACTCGGTTGTTAGACAATCTCAAGTTCAGCCCTCTCACTGTCACTCCTATTCCTTAACGCAGTCCTGCTGATAATAATAACAATAATAATAATGCTAATGATACAGGTTACAGAAATGACACTTTAGTAATTACCACTTACATTTATCACCCTAATGGCAGTTTCCCCTCCAGAAGAAGGAAAGCGGTCGCTGCTAAAGACCAACAACAATGGATTTGTTCTCCCTAATGACGCACACGACCACCTTGACCTACTGAGAGGATATATTTTTATCACCGCAGACGGAGGATAATGATGATTATCCAGACGACACCTAACTGAGATAAATATAGTGGATAGCTCATCACTGCTCCTTTGTCTTCCGCTTTTCCTTTTTTGTACTACTCGCGTGAAGTTTCAGAATAAATTATCAGGCCTTATACTATATTTAGATTGGAAACAGAAGGCAAGATGTGTTTAATTTTTCAATATTACACCTAACCTTTTCCATCATTATAACATTACATTTATACACAACAGAAAAGCAGCATTTACAGTATTTTCCTCCAAATGTTACAATCATATTATGAATTGCTAACTAAATGGCTCTTGAGGAAGTCCTAACTCAATAGCTCCAGGATAGCTGAAACCAAGCCAAATGTATTAGAGTTCTGTAAAGGAGTCGTCCTGTTACACTGCACATTATTATTGGCACACTCTTTCACACAGTTTGAACTGCCGGGAAGCTTCCTACCAATAACAGTAATCCTAATTGAGTAGCACAAACAGTGGCTTAGTTGAAATAGACCAGAAAAAGCAGTCTCAAATAATTTACTGTATAAGTCATTAGTGGTTTGTCGCTGCCAGTGACAATATAAAGCGATTGCCTGAATCCTGACATGCAATTAAGTTGTATTTTAAGTTGTGAAAGTAAACACCTCATAACTTTGCTGAAATGTGGGGAAAGCATATTCAAAACACTGTTGGAAAAATCCTTCCATCTTTCCTTGTTCCCTCATTCGAAGCGTTCTAACACCCTCTACCTTTCCTCCTCCTCTCTGTCTGCATCTCACTTTCTCCATCTGCTCAGTCTCAGTCTCAGTCTCAGTCTCTCTCGCTCTCTCTCTCTCTCTCTCTCTCTCTCTCTCTCTCTCTCTCTCTCTCTCTCTCTCTCTCTCCGGTAGAGGAGGCAGTCTGTCATGCATGGCTGTCCGTGAGCAGGCGGCGAATCAAAAGCCCCAGCGTCGGCATAAACCTCCGCCAAGCAGCAAAAATCCTATTTGAAAGCCTCCAGATGCAGCTCAGAGGACAGGCACACACACACATTCACACACATGGAGACTCATACACAATATGAATAAATCAAAAAATATGTGCATGCTGTATGTGAATACCCATATGTGTGCACTGACACACATTTGCACATGTATATTTGGTCAGAATGCAACAAAACGCTATCCTTGTTAGAACTCACATTTGCTGTAGAGCAGTATAAACCAGAGGACGATTCCCCACCACAACCCATATGTTATTGTTCTGTACTGATAGTGAGAGGGTCAATGAAAAGATTCATCTGGATCATTAGTTGGGAGTGATCAATGTGGTTAATTAACAATCCAACTGAAAACGCACAACTTTGGCATCACTTCGAAGTCCATCCGTCTTCGTTTGTCTATCTTCTAGCAGCTTTTTACTGCTTTTCTTAAATCTCTTCCTATGAAGGCCGTCAGCCACCCTAGGTATATTTTACATTTTTGTATTGTGATGAGGTAACATTCAAAATGGAGAAGCAACATTTTGTTCTGACCTTGACCCCCAAAAGAGAAGTGAATGTATACTGCAGTATTAGTTGGCATGTCCTGCTTCTGCTGTAGCTACATATGTATATCATTTACCGCTAACAATTGTGCTACTGTTTTGTCAGCAGGCGCTAAAATTGTGATAAATCTCACAAAAAAACAACCATATTGTTTTACTTAAAAAATATCCACCTGTGAAGCGAGGCACTCTAGGTACTGCTTACTCCAATAGTAAAAGAAAGACCTGCGGCACACCTTTAGAAAAGTAAATGTACAAGATTTCATGACTGGCCAATAGGTTGAATTAAAAGGCTATTCTGCTATTTCAACTATTAAAAAATCACAAATATATGCACAAAACCATTATCTGACTTTAAATAGTCTTAAGGCAATCTTAAAGGACTACCTCTTTATGAGACTGGTACTGACCCTGAGATGCCTCAGTAGGAATAACACCTCTCAACCTGCCTGTGTTACTGCCCTATTCTTACCAATTAATAACACTCTTTCTTTTTTTAGTTTATTAATTCCCCACTCCACTTGACATTCTTCTATTTCCACTTTGTCCTTTGCACCTTTTTTGGGTTATCCTATTTCCTCTTATTTGTCTTCCTGCCATTCCTCCCTGACACCTTTACACCATTCCCTCTACTTTTCTTGCTTCTGGCCATTAATAGTTTACACACCATGACAGGCGAACACGGCTGTCTCCACGGAAACCAAGTAATCTACGGTGAAGGTCACTGTTTCTATAATGAATGCGGGTATGGCTGTATGTTTCCATGTGTGAAGCTCTGTGGGAGTGTTGGGAGAAATCCAATGGGAGGGACTGTGGTGGCAACGGCAATATGGAAGTCACAAGAGGACACGCACTGCATGCCAACAGAAACATGATTAGTCATACAAATCAGCCACAGCATAACACGTAAGCTAAGTAGCCTATGTTTGCAGCTTAGTTTATTGGTTTGATCATTTGTTGGTTTGTAGTGTGTCAGCATCAAGAGAGTACAAACTATTTGCCAAATTTTCATTAAACTTGGTGCAAGGCTGTAGCATGGGCCAACGGAAAACCAATTACATTTTGAAGTAGATCTGGGCGTATCACTGGGTGGATACAGCCATTCTTTTTTTAACTTTTGGAAACAACATTGGCGTAAGTCTACATTTTTCAAATAACCCTCTAGTGTTATGTTTGGCTAGTACAGAGCATCAAAAGCAGTCCAATGATGGACATTTATTCACTTATACAGTATAGCATCAATATGAACAATTGTGCCCAGACATTGAGTTTAACAAAATCATTACACAATCTTACCAGTGCATGTGGTTGCTGCCAACAGGCTAATCTGTGGTAGGCTAATAGCCAACACGGCACCAGACCCTTCAAATCACTTTGCTTGTGGTCAGCTAAAAGCCAACAGCTCGTAAACGTAACCTAATGCAACAATTTATGGATAGTTAGCGGGCTAACTGTTACCTTGAAGGCTTTTAATGCAACGAGGAAGCAAAATGTGAACGCCCTTGAACTGCAGTTATTTAGCTTAGCTTATTTGGGGTTTATCACTGCATGATAATGGGATCCTGACACAAGGAAGGTTAAATATCTACAGTAAACACATTTAGTTTATGCTTCTCTGCCTTACCAACTCCCTCTGGACTGGTTATTTAATTGTTTTCTTTGCAAATAACATTGTTTAGGGTTAGGGTTGGACAAAGGTTGGACACACTTAAGGTGCTTTAGAGAGACGCATCAGCCAAATGCCATGTTTTTGGATATTTAGTGTCAACTAGGGAAACCACTATGCCAATGTACATGTATACAGTCCTCTTTGTGTAGTGGAATATGTATCCCTTGAAATAGCAGATATGGATTTTGGGAAACTGTGCCTGTGTGTGTCACTGTACGGCCAGTAAGGATTATCTCTCAATAAGCCCAGCAGAGGTATCACAGTGATAGCTGCCCAATGGATGCCTGTGTGTGACCTCTGCCTGTTCTGCACCTCTAACCTGGCCCTGGCGAGCCGAGTTCTCCTGGCAGAGGAAACTACCCGGAGAGACAGGAAAAGAGCGAGTTTGACCAGAGTCAAAATGAGTTCAAGTACAACAACACTGTCTCATAATTATCAGACAGTGTCTTTGACTTTGAATGCTTGAGAAGGATTTTGGTTTAAATAGCAATGTAATAATTTCACCATCAGGTGAGCTTGGATTAGTATCATCTGGTGTTGAATATTCCTGCACATACAGAATACACTAATTTTTGAATATTTAAATAACATATTACAATGTGTTTGCTCACATTGGTAATCATAAACATCTGGCTCTTTGTTGTCCTCTTGTTCTGTCTTCAAATGTTTCTTGTGTCAATTCCTCTTTCTCTTGTTGGGGGGGCCAGACAAACCAGCTGGAGTCACTAATGTAGCAACAATGACAACATCCCTCACTGGCTTCCCACCGCAAACATGCTAATTTCATTAATTGAATTGCTATGGTTCATGTTTCAGCTTTTGGGAATCCAACCTTAGTGTAGATTTCGTACGGGCCTTAAAATGAGAGTCGAATCCTGCCATAATTATCAGACCTGTTTGGAACCCACCATTTGCTTCTATTTGGCCTGTGTCCGTATCACAGAACTCCTAGAATTTGACTTGGACAGTGTTTCTAACCTTAGTGTTTGTACAATATTTGATCAGATATCTGAGGGAGTTTCTCTGCTGTCTTTTTAAAAGTAGACTTTTGCTCCTCTCTGTTGTACCTCTTTCTGCTCCTGCCCCTCACCTTACCTTTAATATATGCCCTCATGTGTCCTTATCACTCCCTCCTCCCCTTTTTTCCCACCTCTTATCTTCCTGCCCTTTCTCTCTCACCTTATCTCTCTCTTTCTCTTGCGCTCCATGGTTTCCTGATTCCTCTTCTGAGGTGTGCTGCAGAAACGGGGGAGGAATGGGAGTTATCTTTTTGAATGAGCAGTGAGGATCAGGTCTATTCTGGGGAAGTAGGGTGGGTGGGGGGGGCAGAAAGGGAGAAAACTGTGGGGACTAGAATTCTTTCTCCACATGCATTAACCATGAGAGCCAAGCAGCAGAGAGCCTCCAGGCAGGCAGCGCACACCTGGACACACGCGCACAAACTCAGTCGACAGTAAGACACACACACAATAAGACACACAAGCACATATGCTCACTTAAATTAATGTATAAACATCCAGACACAGGCTTACTTTAGTCAGCTCACAAACATACATGCATGTGCAAATGCATGCATACACACACAGTGCAGTTGCAAGCCCAGGAGTACAGGCGCAGGAATTTATAATGAGCTGCTTTAAATGATTAATGCCTTAAGCTGGCACTCACAGAGGCCTACAGATGGAAAGACAGACATACAGAATGCACCTGTACTGAGAAAAAATACTTTGAATTTTTTTTAGAGATGGGTTGGATGGAATGCTCAGGAAAATGGTTTTAGGTAATCGAAAAACACACTGTAAAAAGGTTTCAGTTCTATAACAAAAACACAGACACACCCAACCTGGACAACACCATGGTAGCAAAGTATAGATTCAAATATAGCAACAGCCTAAAGCATACCCTTCTTTATTTTATATTTTAGTCTTAATATGAGCATAGCTTACAAAATTACCAAGATACTGTATGGAAGAAAGAGAAATCAAGACGGAAATCTCATTAGGAAAGTTACGAGTTGGTTCCTTTTCTCATAGACTTCTATACAGTTGGACATCTTCTTGTGGTTCCCTGTGTTAAAGTCCATTGTCTTGAGTCAAACTTTCTACAGCCACTATCGGCATTGTTGCTTTACATAAACAGATGCTGTTATTGGACATTTTCTGAGATGTCTGATGCCCTCGTATATTTTCTTTGGAGGAAAGTCTTGTCACATCAGTTAGTCAACCACCTGTCAGCTGAGGGGAGTCGTTTAAGGACACAGCCGCAGTCTTTACACACACATTTGATCATCTGGCCCCTTCGAAACACACTCCGTTGCAGACGCAACGGATGTCCACCCCTATCACACATGCACACACGGAAGGGCGGAACATGTCGGAGATAAGGGAGCGCGGTGGTTGATGGAGAGGGAGAGACTGGCCGGAGGAGGCTTTTAAATGGCGGACCGGGTGCTGTCCCCGTGTGATAAGACTCTTTGAGGTGGGGGTGATACAACTCATTTGTACTCTTATACCTCTGCAAACACGTCAGCCTGGCTACTTGGTGGATAGATGTGTTATCGGCCTATTCCTCTTGGAAGAGTGCGGACACCCTTTGGTGAAATGCCATCAACGTGATGACTGCCTCATGGGGCTGTTCGAATCATCAAAGGAATTGAATCAAAGCAGAAAATTAAAATCTTTAATCAATTAATCAAACTCTGTTAGCAGGTCACTCTTCCCCCCCCGAGAAACGCCTGTAAAACGGTCTAACTTTCCTCTTTCTTTAATCTTTACCTCCAACACATGTCTGATTCTTCAGATTCTGCTAGCCAAGAACATATTTTTTGTGTCACACTCCTAGGTTTATGTCACGGTTTTAGTGTTGTCTGTCTGGTTATGGGTTTTGTACGTCTGTTCATTCGGTGTTTTGTCTTCCTCCTTGTGTTTTGTCTGGTCCTCCTCCCTGTCGTTAGTTTCCCTGGTGTGTCTGATTGTCTCATTGTATTCACCTGTTGCCCTTGTGTTTCTCCCTCCCCTGCCCAGCTGTGTCTTGTCCTGTGATTACCCTTCTGTGTATTTAGTCTAGTCTTCCCCTGTGTTCCATGTCGGTTCATTGTTTCCCCTCCATGTTATTCCACGGTCCGTGTTCCTTGTGCTGCTCGTTTGTTTTTTTGGATATTTTGGATACTGCCTTTTTTGCCACAGCTTTTATTATTTTAATAAAGCTCGCTTTTCGTTAATTCTGCATTTGGGTCCTACCTTTTCCACCCAATCGTAACACATAGCGAGACATTCCGACACCAGAGACAAATTGTGCGGGTAGATTAGTAAACCTGGTGTGTTTACCCTTTAGGCTTCGCGTCGGGATCTTCGGGGCAGTTGAATGTTATGCACCCTCTATTCAAAAAAGAGAACGGAGCGAAAAATACAAACAACAAATTGTGTCAGGTGCGCGTGACCTGCTCCGCTGCGCGTACATCATTTCCAAAGTGCTTCCACAGCAGTGACATCCCAGCTAGAAATTGTTGGTTCTAAAAACATTCTGAGAAAGTTACAGTCATTGTTCTAGGAAGGTTTTCAGCGGGAAGTTTTTGTTTGGTTCTCAGAACGTTCTTCTGAAAGGTAGGATAACGTTCTCTAAAAACATTCTTAAAATGTTTGGGATAACATGTGTGTGAGACTGACTTGTTGAGCGGCCCGACCAAGCAAGGATTGCAGAGCAGATAAGTCCAAAAATATAACCCGACGTGGCATTATAAAACAATGTGCACAAAGTTCACGACACACTCTCAATCCTGCTGCTGTTCTTCGCGAGCCCATCCTGCAGCCACCAGGATCTCACACACACCACCACTCTAAAAGAAACAGCACTTAAATACAACAAGACTTAATAGACACAGGTGATGGGAAGCAATTAACACAGGGAAGGGGCGGAGCCAATATAGACACAGGTGAGGGGGTGAGAGAGACACCCAGGGCCCCCTCAGCACACCAATCAGCAAACATACATGGGGAACAGAAAGTTGTCGTCAAGTATACCCCACACAGTACAATGATTATATCCACATTGAGCCTCAAGTAAGGCGTCTCGTCGTTACACATTGTTAGAACATTATTGCCCTCTCTATTCTTAAAACGTTTTCAGAGGGAAGTTTTTGTTTGGTTCCCAGAATGTTCTTCTGAAAGTTGGATTAACGCTCTCAAAAACATTCTTACATTTAATTGGTGATAAACCCTTCTTTAAAATGTTTTTGAAACATTGTTGGAACATTAGGCCCTACTATTCTTTATAAACGTTTTCAGGCAGAAGCTTTTATTTTGGTTCCCAGAATGTTCTTCTGAAAGGTTAGGGGATAGCGTTCTCTAAAACATTCTTAAAATGTTTGATAACATTTTTAGAACATGTATGCCCTACTCTTTTCTTATAACGTTTTCGCCAGAAAGCTTTTATTTTGGTTCCCTCAGAATGTTCTTCTGAAAGGTAGGATAAACTTCTCTAAATAACATTCTTAAATCTTTTTTGATAACATTTTAGCAACATTATGCTCCTACCCGTCTTAAAACATTTTCAGCTGCAAAGTTAGATTTTTTTATGTTGCTCAGAATGTTTATTTTTAGAGAGGGGGTAATATGGGTTTATGTTAAATAAATATATGCAAATGTTCTTATGGTAACCATTTACTAAAATATGATTTAAATTATTTGAACATAAAGACATAATATTCCCTTTAATTGTTCCAACTCAGAAATCCCTGGGTAAGTGACTGACCACTGTTCCGGTATTACGATTTAGTATGCTTTATTGATGTCTTTTTATACTCTTCGTGATTTTGTACTCTAAGAGCTATGTAAAATAGGTTACTTACCCACGAATTTAGAGCTGTGTGTAGAAAAGATAACATTTATTGGTTATTAGAAAAGCGGGGAGTTGGTGATGATGTAGAGTGTAATTGGCTCAGTCCTTATTTGGGCAGGAACGGCAAGAGGGAAACAGTTTTTCCAGCGCTTGGAAGTGGTGATATGAATGTGTAGGTTCGAGACGGACCCTGCTGGTTTGGTTGGTCGTGTGGATAGTATAAGTGCTCTATTGGATATCCTCTACTGGGAGGAGAGACAATAATAATTCTCTGACTGTGTGTAGGTTAATTGCTGTCAGTTGTGTAGTTTGTCAAAAGAATAGCTGGTGTTATGAAAAGTGTTGGGAGCTGCACGCAACAAACTCGTTGTACTGCGAACTCAATACCTTGCAGTGTTATTTTGTATGTTGCAGGCTGCCAGGCTTGCAGTGAGGGGGCTGACGAGCAGAGTTGCAGCTGTGTTGATTGGAGATTGCTCCCAGCCGGTAGACGCAGACCCACAGCAGATGAGAGAGACACAGAGTAGAAAGAAACACATACAAACACTGACAGGGGTTTCGGGATGTGTTGATAGTGATGTGTAGATCGGTGGCATTGGTGAATAGTACATTGTCTCTGCTTATGTGTTTTATCGATGTTATTATATTTAAAAAGTCATAAATTGCTCGTCTTATAGTGTGTCTTATAGAGTGAATATGTTCCTGTTGATATTCCAGATATGAATATCTAATAGGAGCGGTGATACGATGATGTGTAAGACTCCACAAACAAAACACTTGGGGTATAAATGTGTTTGTTTTGACTTCAGAAGTCAGCAATGTATATCAAGCGCGCAAACATTTTATATATATGAAT